TACAAAAGGCTCACAACACTTATTGCTCACTCAACGCTCACTGAAGCTCATTCAGTATATTCTTGGATATTTTACAAAGTCTTCTAACATTCTCTATTTATAAGAAAACTGATACATGAGTTTAGCTGAAATGTCAATAGTGGAGAACTGATAACAAGGATCATGGCAGACCCACATCTGATAACGTCTACCAAAACAGTAACCCACGTCACAGACCTACGTTTGACTATGTCTGCCAAAATAGTAACCCACGTTGCAAATCCACGTCTAATCACGTCTAACAAAACAACGTGAGTGGCAGAGTATCCTAAACTACTTTGAGCCAATAAACGTGGTAATAAGGGAGAGTGGCAGACCCACGTCTGACTCACATCTGCCAACCCACGTCTACCATAATCAACAGAGACCATAATGAGTAATTAGTCTCATCCAGTATAATTCCAATTGGAAGTGCAGAATTGTCTTGGTGGACTATGATCTGCGGTGCCAAAGTCGGGGTTGGCACGGTAGTTGCTCCTGAAGTAATCGCCATTTAGACTAACAGCAGATATTCGGAATATGAAATACGAAGAAAAAGAAGAAAAAAAAAAAATTCTAACGGTATAATATTCCTGTGAATTATTTGTTGTGTATTTCTTCTTCTCCAATATGGAGGATATATAACCAAGTAATTTACACGATACAGGAAACTGCCTAAACTAAAGAATCCTAAAAAATAAATTACAATATATCGGTCAACTATCATAATTATAACAATTAATTACCAAATCAATTTAGGAGAATTTACATAAATACATTAGAAAATACACCTCATGCTAACACTTATGTTGTGGCATATAAGAAGGAAATGGACTCCATTTCTATCTTTAATTAACAAAATATTGTTTTATATATTCCTTATTGTTTGAAGCAGTAATGTTCAACTTGTTCCCTAGTAAATAGGGAGAAGTATACTCACTTTTAATTTTAGTCTTAGTATTTATTCGGACGGCATTAGTGTATGAGTCTTTCTTTTTCTCTATATTAAGAAACTTACTCATTATTTCAATTACCATTAAATATCATTAAAGTGAAATGATAAAATTAGACACTAGGAAACAAAAATCAAAGAATTTGGCTACTCCTTCTCCCCAGTTGATTACTCCTTGTCGTCCCTCCTTCTCGATCGACGGTTGAACCATCGAAAGCTAATAAAAAATTAGCAGGTAGAGCCATGGCAATGGTAGGATTCTTCTTCAGAACTGAGATGAAGTAAATAAATCAAAGAGAAATATGTAATCCATAAGTCCTCTTCTTTTAGTTTCCTCCCATACTTCAATCAATTCTAATGATAAATTATATTATAAATTAAGAAAACATATTGTATCCCTAATCAAAGAGAAATATGTAATGATGTAATAAATTAAGAAAAAACATTAAGCATGAGCAACATACACTGATTTATTGAGCACTTTATAAAGTGTGATTTGTTTTCTGTAATCAATTTGTTCAGTCCTGCTATAATTTATGGACCGTTAGTTTGAATTTAGTGAAACATCTTTCATCTAGGCCAATATAATGAGTTTTTGTAGCATTTGGCTTACTTTTATATTTTATGATGTGCCCTAATGGACACCCTATTATGTGAGATAAAAATGACGGCAAGAAGGAATGGACGATAAGGAGGAGTTAGGCGAAGCCACATTGTTTGATTTTTTTTCCTTTATATAATGTCTAATTTTGTCATTTCACTTTAATCATATTTACACCCGTCCTAGCCAGAAGGATAATTTGAAATGCACGTTACAAAAATGTTGGATGCACATTAGGAAAATGTTAGGATGTCAACAATTGCAGAGCCAGTGTGTGCCCACAAGGAGCACATGCCCCTCCTTGCCTGGCCCACCCACTATAAAATATAGTAATTTTTATTATAATTTGTACATTTATAAGAAAATTTCTATATAATGCCCCTCTAAAATTTTAAATTTCTAAAATTGTCTTCTAAATTTTTCTTTCCTTTTTCTTTTGCTCTTAATATTCTTTTGATTTCTTTAAAATATATATATATAAATAAATTTTCCTTCTTTACTCAAACTCTAATTTTTTTTCATTTCAAATTTCTCATTTTTCTTCCCCTTTTCTTCTTCTTCTTCTTATTAATTTTTTTTGGCCCCCTAATTCTTAACATTATTCTTTTTTGCATTTAAGAATGATGTATATAGTATGTAATTTTATTTTATTTTTTCTGTTCTTCTTATTTAATTTTTTTTTTTTTTAACACTACACTCCTTCTGAATTAAAATTCTAGCTCTGCCCGTGAATGTCAATAAAGAGAAAGTTGGAATGCATGTTAGGAAATATCGTAATGCAATGCCAACGTCCTAACATTTTAGTAACTTGTATCTCAAATTGTTCTCACCGGTTGGGACATAAGTACCAGTGCGCCAGAAAGGATTTTAATTCAATGTGGCTCCGCCTTTGATTGGAGGTATTTACTGTGGTTCTAAGCAGACTCACTCACTATGCAATTAAAGAAAACCTTGAAAATCATTCAGGAAAAGAAAAAACTTGAAGATTATTATGAAAAAACAAGTACAACAATCAATCATGAAATAATCTTATGAAAAAAATAAGTACAACAAATTAAGCTGCTTTGGTTTACACTGTAGATGATAAGAGGTCAACATTTACTAGTAAAATTGGGGAGAAACAAGAACGAACATTTGCAAACTGAGTTGGTATTTTGCATTTTTTTTTTTTCCCCGAAAAGTACTATTTTGCTTAATTCCATTATCACTTCATGAAGTATTTATGACTTACAACTGATGAAAATATAAATTAGCAGAGGTAGGAGTCATATACAGTATTTTGCTTAATTTTTTCTGGTAAGTTCTTCGTTCCGTCTTTAAAGCTAATGGGGACACAAAGGGAAAGATTAAGACCTCCACCACCTTCACAAAATGAAGAGCCATATTCCTTTTCATGATTACTCTTTATAAAGTGACATGTATAATTATTTTCTAGATAGATACAGATCACCTACCAACACAATATTGATCAACATTCGGTCAAGTCCTGTAAATAAAGAAATGCCCATTATATATATATATATATATATATATATATATATATATATATATAATATATCTCCACTTTTTCAGAGGAGAATCACCAATCACCAATATGGTGCATGCTTGAGAGTGTGCTAGAGTTTGCTGATTCTTCGAGGTATCATCCTCGAGTACGTGGACCACAATCGCATAAACATGGTCGTCCTTGATGTACTGACTCAAAATATATTGCTTTATTAACATTCACCGGAGGATTCCAGTGGTGCCGTGGACATGGTTAACGGTGGAGATCATACGATTCACACCCAATATAGGGTGGGGAACCCACAGACAGCGTATACCACATCTCTGAATTGATGATCAACTCCATTTTTTACTGGGGGTGACAATCCGTGTTGAAAGGTCATGTTCATGTCAACATGACTCGATATTATTAATCGTGTCAAGATCCCTTAATACGAACACGATACTATTATTATAAGTGTAATACGACACGATACACATAACCCATTTAATAAATTGGTCAAGACTTAACACGGCAAGAAATAACATAAAAAAACACGTTTAAGTCATTTTTTACACAAACACGATACATTTATTCTACACGTTTAACTAAATAGGTCATTTTTTACACGAATACGACACATTTATTGACACGTTTATTTAATCAGGTTAATTGTGTCGTAATCGTGTTAGCAGGGTCAAACACGAACACTGCATGTTTAGTTAAAGGGTTAATTCGTGTCAACACGATTACGATACGAACACAATTAGCCCAAATTTAAACCCTCTTATCTTGTGTCGTGTCAAATATTGTCACTCATACTTTTACCGAGCACAACGTTAAAATGGGCATAAGAGAGATTTTGGGTGGAGTGTGTGTCCCACAGCATATCACATCTTATGTGGGGTGATTTTCACTGTCTGTATAATGCAGCAGGCGGGCATGGGCGTGCACAAGAAAGAAGTGGAGTGTGTAACTATGTATTTACTTTCAAAAAAACAATAATAATCTTTCTTTTAATCGCAAAGTTAAAATAAAAAAATTATCTTTTTATAATGTTCTTATTTGTCAAATAATGTATCCCTTGCACCAAGATTGACAATTTTTCCCTTGCACCAAGATTACACACCATAAAAATGGTTAGTATATATAAATGAGCATGTATATGGTTAGGTATAATTTCTCATTCGTCAAAACAATAAGCGTGAAATTGAAATTTTAATACACATTAAATATTAGTGGTCCATCTTTTTATTTAAGGATGTTTGGTATTAAAGTATCTCTAGTTAAAAGGACAACTTGGCAATTTTAAAAGAGAAAAATGTACTAATTGAATTAGTTCTTTTTAGCAATTTTAAAAGAGAAAAATGTACTAATTGAATTAGTTCTTTTTAAAGTAACATGCAATTAGTACATTTTTTTTCTTTTAAAATTGCCAAGTTGTACTTTTAAATTTAAATATGTATATTACTAAGTTTTAAAAATTTTGAAAACTTAAAAGGTGACCATGAAAAAAATAGTCTGTTTTGCTTAAACTTTTTAAATCAGACAACTAATACATGACATCCTTAAATGGAAAGATGGACCACTAATTTTTAAATCAATGAATGTAATTTCATCTATAACTTCAAAATAAGATTACAAATGAATGAGAGTTGTAATTGTCTTCAATAGAAATATTATCCATTAATATATTGATTTTTTTATTTGTCAAGTATTTATTATCATACACTCTTTAGCATATTTACGTGTGTGTGTGTGTGTGTGTGTGTGTGTGTATTAGGTAGGGCGGCTCAGATAGATGATGCTTGGCAAGACCTTTTGACACTCTCCAAGTTGAAGGTAGTGGGCTAACGTCATTCTTCAACATAAAGGGAGCTATGCTTCTTTTTCTGAAAACTACATTGCATCTGCTATAATTCTGTCTCCTGCCATGGTATACATATGTATTATATATAGATACGCATGGAAGAAATTAATGAGTACGTGGAAAGCAACAAAATTAAACAGATACAAAAGTAAGGCTAACCAGTAATTAAGGAGTATATTTTCTTTTATCATTATTCTATCATATATATATATGTTTGAATCATCAACCACTACAAATCCATGATAATGATCACTACCTAAACTCCCACATTCAGATTCAAGGTGTGTACTGTCTTAATTTCTTTGGATGCAAAGATGGTTTCATCTTCTCCTCCTCCACCTGCTCCAAAGGTGAGCATGTGATCAACTTTGTCTAACTTAAATTTAACCTGAAAATTAATTAATTTTTACTTGATTGATCTTATATATGTGTGTGTGTGTGTGTGTGTTTTGTTGTTGTTCTTCTAAACTGTGGCAGGAAGTCCCGTCTGATGAAAATGAAAAATGGGTGGAAGATGGAGCCGTTCGCGAAGCCAAATGGTGGTATTCAACTTTTCACACAGTCACAGCCATGGTTGGTGCTGGAGTTCTCAGCTTGCCTTATGCCATGGCCTACTTAGGATGGTATACATCTTCTCTCACTCTCTTGTTGGATAATCTTAATTTGTTAAGATGATACAGCCATGATTATTTTTTTTTTCGAATGGTAGATACAGCCATGATTTGTTAAACTAAAATCATCTTACCTTTCACAAATCCCGAGGGGTTGGCCCATAGTGGTAAGGTCGCTTGGTTATGATGTCTCGTGAACCACCAGGTCTGAGGTTCAACTCCCATTGAGTGCAGATCACGTATCCGCGACTTACCCGGCCTGTGATAGGGAGGCACCCTTCATGGGTCTTTACTCCTTAAGGATTAGTCTGGGCGAAGGCTCGGACTTCAGGTTATATCTAAAAGATAAATAAATTCATCTCTCTCTCAGGGGTCCAGGGACAATGGTGATGGTTTTATCTTGGTGCATCACCTTGAATACAATGTGGCAGATGATACAGCTCCACGAATGCGTGCCCGGGGTTCGGTTTGATCGCTACTACGAGCTGGGGCGGCATGCCTTTGGGCCGAAGCTGGGGCCTTGGATAGTGCTGCCACAGCAGCTGATAGTTCAGGTTGGGTGTGACATTGTGTACATGGTCACTGGGGGGAAGTGTCTGAAGAAGTTCTTGGAGATGGCTTGTACCAATTGCACCAGACTAAAGCAATCCTACTGGATTTGCATCTTTGGTGGCATCCATTTCTTCCTGTCTCAGCTCCCCAATTTTAACTCTGTTTCTGGGGTGTCCTTAGCAGCAGCAATCATGTCACTAAGGTACCTACTTAATTCATGCTCTTCTTTATCAAGTTCACTTGCCAAAGCTCTCCATCACCAAAATCCTCTCTAGTGCACGGGGACGCTAGCTAGGGATCCCCGTTATAGTGGGCCCCACACTTATCCTGGAGTGATACTCTTGCTATTGTCCCGAACACTGGTGCATGGAGAGGATTTTGTTTCCTAAAATTAATTGAGTCCATACATGCGTGTTTGGTATGCAATAATTGCAACTTTTAAACTTTTTTTTTGTTTTACAAAGTTCAAGCAAACAAAGAGAGGGGAACTTATACCATTTAGGCTAGTGCCAATTGGTTTACAGCTTGCAAGTTGCCATCATGATCTACAGTAAAACCCTTGGTGGGATTCAATTGGCAAAAACAATACTCCCTCGTACGAAAATAAGTGTCCACCTTTTCATTTGTATCCGTTCCAAAATTATTTCGTCGCACTATTCTTTGTAATATTACTAATTTAACTTTTTATATTGAAAATATAAAAGTTAACCATCACATCATGGACCCGCTAGAAACTTCCACCAATTCCGCCTCATATCTTATTCTAATTGAAAAAAAAAAAAAAAAAAAAAATTCATGACAATTCACAACATAGTTTCACAATAATTGTGAGCATTTAAGTAGTACTTGAGCTGAAAAACAAACTTGAATTGCAGAAACAGGAACTTGCATATAGGACTAAACCAGTGCACGAGGCTATGACAACAATGTAGACACACTATATTCATACTTAATTGGAATTCGATCTCAATATTGCAGTTACTCAACCATAGCATGGGCGGGTTGCTTGAGTAAGGGTCAGGTTGAAAACGTGAGCTACGCGTACAAGGAAAGCAGTGGAGCAGACTACATATTTCGCGTATTCAACGCCTTGGGTCAGATTTCATTTGCATATGCAGGCCATGCTGTGGTCCTGGAAATTCAGGCCACCATTCCATCCACCCCTGAGAAGCCCTCAAAAGTGGCAATGTGGAAAGGTGCACTTGGGGCCTATTTTATCAATGCAATATGCTATTTTCCGGTGGCTTTTATCGGATATTGGGCATTCGGCCAAGATGTTGCTGACAATGTGTTGGTGGCACTCAAGAAACCTTCATGGCTCATTGCCTCTGCTAACTTAATGGTGGTCATCCATGTCATTGGCAGCTTTCAGGTAATTAAGATCACCACTATGACAAATACAATGGGCATGTTTGGCAACCGCTTTTGCTTGTGTTTTTTGTTTCGGATAGTGTACTGTAACGAAGCAAAAGCACGAACAGTGTTTGGTAACGCTTACTGCGATTTGAATAGTACCGAAATGCTTATGAAAAAGAGGCCAAAATCTAAAATGACCTTTTTAACTAGCCATTTTATTTTTCGAACTTGCAACATCCTTTTAACAAACATGTTTTCAATGTTTTTGCTTCCAAAAATTTTGCGACAAATATACATTACCAAGTATGGTTCCGAATAGTATTGAACGCACTCCATGGCATGCAAACACGTTGCTTCTGTTTCGGGTCAAAGCAAAAACACAAAGCAATTGTAGTTCCCAAACAAACCTTACATTTAATAGATATTGATTTTAATGGAGAAAAGCTTTGCAGGTTTATGCAATGCCAGTGTTTGACATGCTCGAGAAGACAATGGTGAAAAGATTGAAGTTTCCACCAGGAATTGCACTCAGACTAATTGTTCGTTCTACTTATGTTGGTGAGCTTCCTATTACTAATTTAGAATTGCGCGACCTGTTTGGTTTTTTTTTTAAGAACAATTTTGTTTTTAGAAAATTGTACCCAAATAAAATATCTACTTGGTTAACCGTTCTGAGAACTATTTTTTGAAAACTCGGTTAAAAAATTATAAATATGTTTTTTAATAACAGGCTTTTATAATTTTTTGAAAATAGATTTTTTTTTTTTTTTTTTTTTTTTTTTGAGAACTTTTTGAGTACAGCCAAGCGGACCTTAATTTTACAAATTTCACAAAACTGAACTTTATAATTTGTGGTATTCATGATCACCTGAAATTCATCTCTTGTAGCCTTCACGCTGTTCGTTGGTGTCACCTTCCCTTTCTTTGGTGATCTTCTTGGTTTCTTTGGGGGATTTGGTTTCGCGCCAACTTCATATTTTGTAAGCTCATTCATTCCTACATGATTAATTTCTATATGAAACTAAAAAGTTCATGATGCATTGGTACTAATCCAGATCGGGTTTTTTGCAGCTCCCAAGTATTATATGGCTGAAAATTAAGAAACCAAGGAGATTCAGCATCTCATGGCTTATCAATTGGGTAAGCAAAACTTCACCAAAGCTCATCATCCACTCTCCCTGTCAATGTATATTTGTTTTTTTTTTTACATATGGACACTTCAAAAGAATGTGAAGTAATCTCATACAATACTGAACACTCGAACATGGGCACATGTGTCTTACTCTATTGGTCAAACACAATGATGGACTCAGAGAATTGTATGAGAGGAAACAACCTTGAACAATAATAATATAAAGTCACGTATCATAAAAAATTTAGTGAAGGTATTTTTAAGATTTTCACAAAAAGTTGGGACATTTTTAAGATTTTTACAAAATTTACAGCTAATTTTATAAATAAATAATCACTAGGGGCAGCTGACCCCACTGAGCCCTTAATGGGTCCGTGCTTGCCAGCCCATGCACCTAAAAGCATGTATGTATGTGAAGTACTTGTGTTAGAACACAATATTCAAACATGAGTATGTGTCTTTGGTTGGACATACACCTACATATCTAATAGTTCAATTTTGTAACATTATTATTTTAAAATGAGTAAAATGTTTATATGAACACTATGTTACATAAAAAATAAAAATAAATTTAAAACATTAAATAATGAATATTATAGCATTGTTTGTGTTTTCTTTTTATTCGAAGATTTGACACGTTCAAGCTTGGCAAATACCTATACCAACACATATCCGAGTCTATGTAATATACTAGCCAAGGTTAGTCGTATCGGCCAATACACGACCCTTTTTCAAGTTTGATACGCAACCCGTATCGGTCAGTTTACACTAACTTTGTCCGAGTCCGTTACAACACAACCGCGACCAATATCGCGACAGTAACCGATACTGCAAGCCACGATACTAGCAAAGTTTTTCTAATGTGAATATAAATGATTGTGTGTATTTCAGGCTTGCATCTTCATTGGACTGTTCATTATGTTGGCCTCCACAATTGGAGGGTTGCGGAATATAATTGCTGATTCCTCCACCTATGAGTTCTACTCTTAAACACTAATCAATGATCATTAATGTTAAAGCGAAATATATGTATACAATTATATATATCTATATGTATATGAGATTGAGTTTGCTGGACTCATTTCTCTATGTTTTTCTTTGTGTCTTTGTAATTTGTAGCAAGCAATCTTCCAAATGGAGTGTATCATTACATTGTTGGTATCTGGCCTCTGTTATAGACTACAACTATGTTTGGATGTGAATCGTCCAATCAGGAAAATCAAATCAAACACCCATTATATTTGTACCAAAGAATAATAATAATAATAATAATATGGGTAAATTACACTGACCTCCCTTCTGTTATGATCAAAGCGAGTCAATGACAAATTTTGTTAATGTTATGTACTGAATAAATTAAAATTTTTATATTACCATTCGTCCATCGCCTCTCTCACAATCATATAGATGGGTACTACAGTCATTTACCATAATAACTTGAGGGTATTTCAGTAAATTAGATAAATTTGTTAATGCATTTGACGGTCCATCACTATGAAGGGAGGGCTGTGTAGATTAGTTTCATTTTATGGAAGGTTTGAATAATTTTCCAAATCACACGAGAGATCCCTGTAATTATGACAAACTAGATGAGAGAACCGTGTAATTTACCCTAATAATAATAATAATAATAAATATCACCCCAAACCAGGTACAAAGTGCTAGGAGGGAAACACCATGAAGAAACATAGGACTTGTTTGGTCCAATTTTTTTTAAAATAGTTCTCATAAACCAAAAAATTGTTTTTAGATAATTACCCTCTCAAAGGAAAAAATATATATATTTAAATGAATTTTCAAAAAAAAAAAAAAATGACAACCAAACAAATTTATGCACAAATTTTTTATTCTTCATCATAAATCTGAATCAAATAAGTCCCTATTATTACAGACTCTCGAATTGTTTGCAAACTCTAGAGGAGCGCAATCGTTGGTAAACCAAGTGCATCATTTAAACTCAAGTCTCACCCTTATAAATACACAACACAAGCCTCACCCTTACAAAGGTCTTCCAGCTAAACTTAGACAAACCTCTCCCCTTATTGATTAAATGGCAATGGCAATGACCTCTTCTTTTAGATATAGTTTTGTGACGCTTAACCGTCAACAAAGCTAACGTCAATAACTTATAATTTCAAAATGCCGATATTATCCTTGTAATACAAATTTTATTTTAACTTTTTATTTAGAAATATTAAGAAAACATGAAAATAAATAGTAGATTAACAAATTCCTTTAACACCATTTATCATAGTTTTTGACATGAAAGTAAATGTAAATTTTAAAATAATACATAATTATGACAAATTCAAAGAAATCGATGTAGTTTTCTCTAAGCAAGATTCAATGCCTTCGATTCGAAATTCAAGAAAGATTAGTAAAAAATTTTAACTAAATTTTCTCTAATTTTGATTCTAAGATGCCAATTCAATCTCAAAGTTTTTGAATTCAATTGGTTAAACTAGATAAATGCATTCTACAAATTGCTTTCTAGGAACGGATACTACAATTCAGTACATTGTCCAATGCATAGCAAAAGAATAACAAATAAGCCCCTATTTTCTCTCTTTCCTCTTATTTTATTTTCCCTTTTCTCTTTTTCTTTTTTTCCTTCAGTTTTTCTTATCAACCAAACAAAATTAATTAATTAATGTTTCCCCTCCTTTCTTTTCTTCTTTTCCTTTTCTCTTTCCTTCTCCTCCCCCCAATTTCAACCATTCTGAATACAGTGTAAATGAGACAAGCATCCAATTCTATCTAGGGCTGCAAATGAGCCGAGCCATTTGCGAACTGCTCGAGCTCGGCCTCGTTAATTACTCGGCTCATGAATAAGTGAACTGAGCTCGAGCCGAATTATGAGGTTCGATTTATAAATGAGCCGAGCTTGAACATCAGTAGGCTCGACTCATTTGTTCATGAACCGTTCACGAACTGGGCTCGATAATGCGTTCACGAACATACTCGATTATATAATATATATATATATATACACACACACACACACATGCTTAATTATAATATATACAAAAGTTGGGGTTATATATAGAATTTGTGATTATTATGCAAATAGGCCTTTCTTGTCTTTGTATATAAACCTTTTTAGGTTTAGGGTTAGACAAAATAAGTCACGCTTCTCTTGCCTCCATCCGTTCTCTCTCTCGCCTCCATCCGTTCTTTCTCATGCCTGAAGGTAACACAGCAGCAACAAACTCATCAAACACATACCCACCATTGGGACACCAACAATGCCCATCTTGTCTCTCATGTAAACTTGTACATGTGTGTGTGTGTGTGTGTGTGTGTGTATATATATATATATATATATATACAAATTGATTTTTAGTATAAATTTTGGGATTTATTACTGCAAATCTATTTCTCTCTCAAACTTTTTTTAATTTTTTGTTGTTCTATTTTTTTTTATTTTTTGTTCCAGATCTGTTAGAACAACAGATCTTAGATATGAAGTACCAAAAACAGATCTTAGATGCGAATTTTTTTTAATTTTTTGTTCCAGATATGTTAGAACAACAGATCTGTTAATTTTTTGTTAAAGATCTGCTAATTTTAATTTTTTTAATTTTTTGTTCTAGATCTGTTAGAAAAACAGATCGTAGATGCGAAGTACCAAAAATAGATCTTAGATGCGATTTTGCGCGATGCGAAGTACACAGATTTTAAAGCAACAGATTTTTTGCTCCAAATCTCAGAACAACATATTTTTTGTACCAAAAAATAAATCTTAGAAAAACAGATTTTTTGTTCCAGATCTAGTAGGACAACAAATCTTAGAGCGAAGTACAAAAAAATAAAAAATAAAAAAATAAACGAGCAAACGAGCTCGAAGCTCGTCAAACAGAGCCAAGCCGAGTTCGAACTAGATTTTTTAGGCTCGACTCGAACTCGAGCCAAGCTTGAGCAGCCTATTATGTTGACCTAGCCGAGCTCGAGCACACCATTACTTGGCTCACTCATTTACAGCCCTAATTCTATCCAACAAGCATCACCAAGAGTGAATTATGTATTCCAAAGAACCCCTTGATCCATCTTATATTTTTATCTTCTTTTTCAGAAACACACATTTCCACCTGTTCTTAGATTTAAAAGATTTGAACCACTTGAATACTTGAATGCATAGGTAAACATAATTACAATATGTTTCAAAATGAAAAAATGCCAATCGTCACGGAGAAATAATAAAAATGGTGAACTGTGTTCATGGAATTGATGCCTGGATATGCCACAGTCTCACAGATGAATTTATTAAAAAAAAAAAAAAAATGTTTAAGAAACTAAGGTGCTAACTAATGTATATGGCAAAGCCTTGATCATGTAAAATACACTATAGCTTTGCGAATCAATTTTCTCTGACCACTTTATTGTTCTTTATGATGATCATAATGCCTTGGATATGGTAAATGGAAGAGAAATCTCACTGTCGAATGTAATTGTTCTTTAGTTCACTATCATCTTTCATTCTCCGCATGCAACCAATCGACACGGGATAAGAGTCACTGTTAAGAGTTCAAAAAGGCAAGCAACACTTAGTATCATGTGTCAAAGTTCTTTCTCAGGTATGTTTGTGTGAGCAAGAGGTACGGGGAAGAGCTTGTTAAAACAGCCTCAGCGTATATATCTATTGGTATTGAGAATGAAGCTATCATACGACATTTTCAAGATATGAAAAATCATTGAGGACAACTGTAAATGTGCTGAATAAAATTATCAATGAAAGTTAAAGTTCTTTTGCTAATTACGATAGTTTGAATTTTTTTATCCTAATATCGTTGTTACAAGATGCCCTCCCCACCCCCAACCCCGGCACATAATTTTCCAAGTCTGTCCTGACTAATGTATAAAAAGATGTCATATGGTTTACTAAGATTTGTGGACTAATAATGTGAAATTATTTACTTCCATATTGATCTCACCATATTCATTTTCTTTTCTTTTTCTTTGTTTTGATATGTAAGACATCAAGTGCATTACAGTCAATAAAATCACTAGATGCTGCTCATGTCTAAATAGAAATCAAGTGCATTACAGTCAGTAAAATCAAAATATGTAAAATTTTGGGAGGTAAACACCAGCGTAATAGTTCAAAAGAATTGAAGTTGAATCTGCAAACTGCTGTCACTTCCAAATAATAGGCAAGTGTTAATTTTTGAAATTTCTTTCTATTATGCCTTCAAATTTTGAACTTGTCATTGTTGAACTTCATAGATTATATTGGTATCCAAAATTCCAAATCAATGTTCTACACTTAGGGTAATTATATTCAGATATCTGCCAAATTAGCAAAATTTTTGCTAAAATATCCTTTTGCGAAAGGGATGATTTATATACAATATAAATGTATTTTTTTGAAAACTACTTAGATGAAAGTTCGGATTTCTTATTAAATGGTATATTTCTAGGAATTATTCGTTGTGTATTTCTTCTTCTCCAATATGGAGGATATATAACACAGTAATTTACAAGATACAGAAAACGTCCTAAACTAAAGAATCCTAAAAAATAAATTGCAATATATCGGTTAACTATCCTAATTATAGCAATTAATTACCAAATCAATTTAGGAGAATTTACATAAATACATTAGGAAATACATCTCATGCTGACACTCCCCCTCAAGTTGGAGCATAGATATCTATCATGCTCAACTTGTTAATTACACCATGGAATGCCCTTCCTGAAACTGCCTTCATGAGTACGTCAACAAACTAATCTTCGGACCGAACAACCAGAAATTGTATAACTTTTCAATCAAGATCTTCTTTAATAAATGACGATCAACTTTAACATGTTTTGTACGGTCATATTGAACCGAATTATGTGCAATTTTAATGGCTGCCTTATTGTTACAATGCAAACTCAACGGTTTCTCATAATCAATCCCCAAATCTTATAATACATGTTTGACCCATAGCAATTCTCACACACCATGAGCCATACCTCGGAATTCAGCTTCTGCACTTGATCTAGAAACCACCTTCTGCTTCTTGCTTCTCCAAGTGACAAGATTACCTTCCACAAAAGTAAAGTAACCCGATGTGGACCTCCTATCAGTCTGAATCCCTGCCTAATTAGAATCTGTATATCCTTCAATTCCATGGACCCCATTCTTAGAGAATAACAATCCTCTTCCTGGTGTACTCTTCAAATGCTTCAAGATCCGATACATTGCATTCATATGTTCTTCACTCAATACATGCATGAACTGGCTCACCGCACTTACTTCATAGGCTATGTCCAGCCTTGTGTGTGAAAAATAAATTAGTCTCCC